TCAGACACCATATTGCCCACTTACGAGTTGAAATTTTAGAACCTGTGTCGTCCAATTTCTTATCATTAGGGATGCCGATATTGTCCAGTATCAACCGATATTGATATAGCGAGGCAGTGGTGGCCTGATTGAATACGATCCCCTGATTATTAAAATAGATTTATAAAATGAGCTGCAATGCTGCCATCTAGTGGCTTTTACTTTCATCTACAGCCGTTTTTCCCCAAGCACTATTTTCAGATCATGCATCATTTGGCAAAAAAAAAAACATTTTCGGAGAAAGAAAAGATAACGATTCTTATGCTAATTTCGGGCCGATAATATCGGTCGGCCGCTATTAGTCAGCTAATTATCCCAGATGGAAGTTGTGGGAACTAAATTATTGCTAAAGGTTATTGAAACCAATGACCACCAGGTCATTTGAAAGATGGTGATCATAAAGAATCAAGAAAGGTTTCTGATAGCGGGTCGGACGAGCGTTAGCTCCTCAGGCCACAAATTTCCTCTCCTGCTAATAACCGGTAAAACAGATCCATCATCTCCGCATTACGCTTCATGGAAGTTGGGATGATAAATTTGCGGAGATCCACATCTCCCTGAATGTAGAACAGTATATTAGAGCACGCGCTCTTCATCCATCCTTCATCTTTGCATCGTTTGACCACAAAGGACACTGGCAGGAAGTGAGGTGACGTATCGGAACTTTGTTTCCTGGTTTAAATGACCGTAGCCCCGTTCCTCTTTTCTACGAGTGCTTCTCACTTCCCTGATCCTGGACAAATTCTCCTGCATCAGTAAATGCAGTAAATGTAGTATTTCTGCAAAGTCCCGCGTATGCAGATTTTTTATTTATTTTTTTGTGACTATTTTACTTTGTATCGTTCTCTGCCCAACAGCAGTTTCAAGTGTCACGACCTAATACAGCCCAAAGGAACCTCACACACTGCAAACAGTCAATTTGTCAAAGCTAAATTACCATTCCTCTCCTGCTCGGCCTCCCTGAAGTAAAGAAATGAAATGATTTACCAACCTTCAGCATACGGAGGAGAGATCACCACACTTTCTCTCTCTCTTACTTCTGCATGCTCCCACTGCATGGATGTTGCTCAGCATCTTCCCCCAACATGACAGTTGGCCGGGTAAAAGACCTCGGCTTCACCATGCTGTCGAGCTGTTGGGCAACAGTACAAAAAAAAAAAAAAAAGTATTTTTGTATAAAAGTCTAACAGACAAAAACTGTCACGGTTGCCCTGCACATACACTCATAACTTAAACCAAAAATACCAGAGAGAAAGAGCCTTGTCCTCCATCTGGCTCAGCTGCAGTGCACGCAATATCTGCCTCCGTTTTTTTTTTTTTTTTTGTTTGTTTTTTTGGCTAGGTAGCTAACCGTGAGTGTGACACTTAGTGTGGCCAGCAGGCCTTTTTCGGAATAATATAAATAAAGAAAAACGCAATTAAGATGCATCTCTCTGTTACTGGCACCGTTCTCCCACCCCGCCCTACCATGACCTGTGCCCCACCACCTGAGGGCGCTCTCCAATTACTCAACTTAAAACAATCAGATTATTACCTTCACGGTTTCGCCTCTTGTCACGCACAGTTCAAGAAGATAAAGAGTTGCGAGAAAATTGCAAAAAATAAATGAAAATCAGAGGTCGATTTTTGTAGTGATTTATTTTCTCTCTTTTTTTCTTTTTTTTTTTTTTTCTTTTGTTAAAATGTTTCTTTTTTCGGAGTCCCTCTGGGAAACAACTATTTTTAAATATTGCTGGAAAACTCATGGACTTCATGGACGAAAACAAACAAACAGTCAACGTTAATTATTGTGAGTTTTATTTGGCAAACACTTGTCACTGCCAGTCAGGCGACCCTGGTTTCCTGCCAACTCTCAGGCCTGCGTCCACGATGGCCAGAGGCCACAGTCGGTTTGGGATCAATTAGTTTTATAACTAACAATTGTAACTATCATAAAATACGATCGATTTCAATATTTGTTTTCACTTGGTACTTCCATCTGCTGGATAGAATTCCAAATATTGCTATTTATGATGCAATTTTTTTATATATATTTTATATTATATTTATATATTATATTTTATATTTTCATTTTTGTTATTTGTAATTAAATGCAATTTAATCAATAATTATTCCAAAAAAAAATTCTATATAAAGTATATCCATAAACTAGATCAAATTGAAGCTCCTTCAACTGGGCCCCAGGAACAGAGAGAGAGAGAGAGATGACCAACAACCTGGCAGTCATTTTTGACTGAGCTCCAGAGATGGTGTGGTGAGGTGGGAGAACGCTGCTAAAAATCTGAGAGTGCAGAAGAAACACACTGCTGCCAATGATGGACAGTTGAAGACTGTTCTGATCTGATGAAATTGTTTTTTCCGCCGAGGCTCCAGACAGCGGAGTCAGAATTTGGCTGCGCGGATTCATCGACCCGACCTAAAGCACGTCAACAGTCCAGATTGTGTGTTGTGATGGTGAAGAAATAGTTACAGAACGGCTCAGAGTGATCGCTCAGGTTTTTTTTTTTTTTTCTCTGCTAATACACGATATGATTTTACAAAATGAATGAATTACTCCATGTCTACTTCTTGATTTACAGTATGTCTTAAATGGCTTTCTAACAAATTAGAACATGGGTGTCAAACATGCGGCCCGTGGGCCAAAACCGGCCCGCTCGGGTGTTCAATCCGGCCCACATAATACATTTTGAAAGTGATAAAAATGCCCAAACACTTCATTTTTGTGATATTTTGTCAACTTATATTTCATTAAATATGAAAAAATATGCCGCACAGTTTATGTCCTTCAATTGATAAATCAGAACCGTCCTCTCCATACGCAGGGCAATTAACCAAACATGTCAATTTGTTTTACTCCTCGTGCTTCTGCTGTAACACATCTTTATGTAAACAAACTTCCCGCAGAGAAAGGGCAGCGTAACGGTCTCCCTCTTATTTAATCGCCAGACAGCTCACACACAGTGTGCGTCGTGCTGCTTTGAGAAATGTCGGTGTTTTTTTATTTATTTTTTTATTTTATTCCCTTTTTAGTTTATTCCTCCACAAAGTATTGATTTGGATGCTCAAAACAAAAGTGAGTGTTGAAAGTAGTCACTGCGGGAGTTGGCCCAGAGGTAAACATATTTGTTTTCCTTCCTCTGACTCTTTCTGTGTAAGAGATTGCAAGAAATATAACCACATATATGTATATATTTATGTGTGTATATATTTATATATGTGTATATATTTGTGTGTGTGTGTTTGTATGTATGGACGTATATATGTATATATAAATATATATGCATATATATATAAATATATGTGCATATATATTTAATATATGTTTAACAAATGGCGGTGGTTATTGATGCACCATATTATTTCTAGTTAAAGCTATACAATACGTAGTTCAGTACACAGTGTTTACACAGATTACAGATGGGAAGTCTAATTTTTCCTGATCTTCTCAATGCTAATTCCATCCGTTTTTTTTTTTTTTTGTTTTTTTTTTTTGTTTTTGTGGGGGGTGGCTACTGAACTACGTATTGTATAGCTTTAACTAGAAATAATATGGTGCATCAATAACCACCGTCATTTGTTAAACATATATTAAATATATATGCACATATATTTATATATATATGCATATATATATAAATATATATGCATATATATATAAATATATGTGCATATATATTTAATATATGTTTAACAAATGACGGTGGTTATTGATGCACCATATTATTTCTAGTTAAAGCTGTACAATGTGTAGTTCAGTACACAGTGTTTACACAGATTACAGATGGGAAGTCTAATTTTTCCTGATCTTCTCAATGCTAATTTTGTCCGTTTTTTTTTTTTTTTTCTCTTAATGATAATTCCCCCCGCTTTTTTTTTTTTTTTGTTTTTGTTTTTTTTTTTTGTTTTTGTTTTTTTTTTTTGTTTTTTTTTTTTGTTTTTATCTCTTCTCACCTCTCTGGAGGATCAGTGGATCAGTGTTAGTGAAGCAAACTGCATTAGAATGTGTCAAACATTGAGGTGATTAAAAATGAATCATTATTAATTAGAAACTAATTCAAACACACAGACTCGCATACGTGCACAGTATATAAGAAATAATAATAATAAAGTAATAAATGTAAATAGAGTACTCATACTTAATATACAGTATACTCATCAGTGTGCGCACATTACCCATCATCCCTTAGTTAAATATGAATTAGAGAATGGGTGTCAAACATGCGGCCCGTGGGCCAAAACTGGTCCGTTTGGGTGTTCAATCCGGCCCGCTTAATGAATTTTGAAAGTGAAAAAAAATGCCCAAACGCTTCATGTTTGTGATGTTCTGTCGACTTATATTTCAGCGAAACCCAGGGATTGCGTTGTTGGGTTTTCATTATCGGAGCAGAAAGACAGATAACGATGCTTACCGATTTACCGATTACATTTTTTTTTTTTATTATTATTAATTTTAAATTCTAAGGAGTCATCTTGAGTTTTTCACGATGCTTTCACGAAGGGCTGCGTTTAATTGGTAAATACACAAATCCCTTTGATGTTCTAGATTTAATTGTACATTTTATTTTGGCTCAGTGAAGATCAGAAGAAAAAAACTATGGCTTCTTTTTTTAACTCTTAAAATCATTGGTTTTTGCCGGTATTAGGTTCTTTATTTGTTTTTTCTTATGTTTACTTGGTCATGTCCCTTCGTCTGTCACAACGGTCGAAAGTCACTGGACTCACAGCTATTCGTTTTTCTGCGCCGCCTCATTCATATAATTACAAACACACACACCTGTGTTATTAAAGGTTGGACTCATGTGGGTGGAT